CATTATTTTTTATAATTTTTTATTTATAAAAAAATAAAATAAATTAAAAAATTAAAAAATTAATTTTTTACTAATTTACCAAAACATAACTATATTAATCTAAACGCGACCACATGACCATGCAAATTTTATATTTTTGTACATTTTAGTTTTGTTATTTAAGATATAATATATAAGAGTTTTAGAGACTAAATTTTTTGTTCTCTAAAAATGAAAATTTTATTGTTAAATATATTTAGAGACAAATTTCTATCGTTGTGGAGATAGTTGCTAAAAGGTCGTCCAAAAAAGTTAAAAATAAGACTTTTAGTAACAAAATTTTGAAAATGTCACTACTAAATAGACTTTAGCGATAAAATAATTTGGTATCTAAACGGTTGATTTTTTTAGACAAAAAATTTGATCTCAAAAGGATAATAATTCATTACTAATGTCTAATTTTCTTTGTTAAAAATATAATAACGACACTTTTTATAACAAAAATATTTAATCTCTAAAAAATAATTTTATCCCTAATTTTTAGTTTAAAACCTTAACTTTTTGTAATAATTGTACAAAATAATTTATGTGTTTCTTTTATTTTTATCTTAATATAAATGTAAATTTTGTCCACAATTTCTTGGGAATATAAATAAAAATTTGGAGTTCTAAAAAAATCTCGTAAAATCTGCGTGCTTGTCTGACTTAGGCCAAGTTTGGGAAGACTAAAAAAGTGCACTTTTTGTCTTTTTGGACTAAAAAATTGAGGTTGAAATATGGATGTTTGGGTTAAATTTTTGACTTTTTATTGAAAAATGTGTAATAAAAAATTGTAAAAATTGATTTGCAGGGAAAAATTTGAATTGGGAGTTGTGCAGCCGTAATTGTTGACTTTTGGTGAATAGTGTTAACTTTTTAACTTTTTGAGTAACTTTTTGACTTTTTGACTTTTTTGGAAGTATCCAAACTTGGCCTTAATGCGAGAGATTGTACAGAGGATGGCAAGATGTCCTTGTCATGGGGGGTGTTACGGGTTTGATTTCCCACAAATAATTTTAGCAGAATGTTTGGTTTAAGTTTTTTAGATTAATATTTTTAAAAATTAATTTTTTTAATTTTAGTACTTTTTTATTTTTAATGAATATTTTTTAAATTTTAAATATTTTTTTTTACTTTTTTAGATGCACTTTACTTAGATGTATTTAAAAAGTAAAAAATTTATGAAAAAATATTTTAAAAAATTAATAAATACATAAAAATATAAAAAATATACTAAATTCTTGTTTTTTTTTTTTTGTATTTTTAGTATTTAGTGAATTTTTAAAAGATTTTTTTTATAATTTTTTTTACTTTTTAGATATATTTATGTTAGGTGTGTCTAAAAAGTAAAAAAAATTACTTAAAATATTAAAAAAATTCAGTAAAAATAAAAAAATATGAAAAATAAGAAAATAGAATTTTCTGAAAAGTATTTTTTGAAAAGTGAAAACAAGCAAGGTGAATATTTCTCTTTCTAGCATTTATCAAATGAAAGAAAAAGAAAATGAAAAAGAAAATAAAATAGCTCATACTTATTTATTTATTTATTTTGTTTTATAGAAAAATGCTCTTTTGTTTGACAATATGACTCAGTTCTTAACACTGAAAGTATTAATTGATAAGCAATTAAACACATTTGATAATCATAATTGATATTACTTAAAAATTTAAATGCCTCTTAAAAAATAGGTTAAATTTTAAGAAAATTTTAAATCATATCAAACTTACTTAATTTTAACTGAATTTATAAAACACTATTATAAACTCACCACCACCACCACCACCACCATCACTACTACTATCATCATTGAAACCATCACTACCACTGTCGTCGCCGCCACCACCGTTATCGCTACCACTATCACCACCGCTACCACCATCTTGCCACCACCACCACTAGGGGTGTAAATTCGACAATGATTGGGAAAGAAGTGGGGTGGTGATGGATGACAATAAGAATGAGAGATGGTTGTTAATCGTGACAAAGAAAAAAAAATTGTCTGTATTTTTCCTTCTTCATTAGTTATAACTAATAGATACAAAGGATTTGTTACTGTTTTAAAAATTCAGGATTATGTATAGGACTTATTGTATTTTGGTTAAGTTTGGTGACAAAATGAGGGGAAAAAAATAATCCCTGCCCGATTTTGTCTCTCTATTATTTCATTTTTGAATGTTTCAAAATATATGTCCATTTTAAAAAGTTAAAACTTTAAATTTGAAATTTTTCAAAATTGTCTCCAATAAGTAATTATAAATATATTTTAAAATGAGAGTAGAAGAAATGTCATGTTGATGTCATAGGTCTCTCTCTAAAATCTTCCTCTCTCTCCCTCTCTAAAAACATCCATCACAGGCCTCAGTGTTGGCCAGCCGGCCATCACCTTTGGCCATGGCGGTCGGCTGGCCTCACCTCTTTTGTGCGTGATTGTTGTTTTTCTTCTAATAAATTTGAATCCCCATAGTTTTTCCCAATATTTTTCAATTCTCTGGGGTGTTTAAGGGGTGGGGTTCAGCCTTGGGGGGGAACTTCATTCGTAATTCGAGCACTCCTTTGTGAGTGGGAATTTGAGAGGTGAATTCTATTCAAATCTACAAAGGTCAGCGTTTTGTTTGGCTAAGAAGAGGTTGTTTTGCTCAAGTACTTTGATGTAGCTCTGGTGTTCAGCGAGTTCACTCTAGAGGAAGTTGATGTTCATGGCGGTGTCCGGCGATTGTATTCTAGAGTGAGTTTTGCTGTTCAAGTATCTACAAAGGAGTTGTTTCAGCCATGGATTTGTCTTTGGCCATGAGAGGTGTTGGTGTTGGTGGTTCTCAGAAGCTTCGCCTCTATGGGAGGTGGTATGGAGGAGGTGTTTTTGAATTTGTAGTGTTTGTTTGATTTGCCATGGAAGTGGGTGTGAGTGTTCAACCAAAGGTGTTTCGCCGTGGGTGTCTTGGTATTAGAAGGAAGCTTTGGCCATGAAATGGGTGAGTTTGGCAGAGTCCGACAGAAGTGACAAGCGTAGGTGAAGTTCGGTGGAAGTGTCAAGTGTCGTTGAAGTCCTATAGCGATCCCGACCAAAGGCATTCGCGACCATTTATTGGCGACAACACGGGCGACTAACCTTTTTAGTCGGGAAAAGTGAAATTTTGACATTTGGCGACTAAAATAGGACCTTTGGCGACTAAAAATTTAGTCGCCAAAGGTGTTTTTTCTTGTAGTGTCTTCTCCATTTAAGGTAGGGATTTCCTTGTTCTTTTTCAATACTTCGTCTATAGATAGATATGTGGTAGTTTTGTATTGCATGAAAACCATACCTATGTTGGGTTTGTTTGAAAATCATGAGGGAACCTAGAGTTGGTTGATTAAAAATGGATTTATTGTCTTTGGGTGTTCATTGGACTATTTGTGGCGTGAAATAGCATGTTGTCGTTGAAATATAGAAAAGCCCTAATTTATATGTGTCATGATGAATTAAAAGAGGGAGAAAAACCCTAACTTAATGTTTATGATTTAATTTGCATAATTAGTTTGGAAAGTTATGGAAGGAATGGAATTGATTTTGGGAAAATGAGAAAAGTGTTTTTGGAATAAGTGGTGGAACATATTGATTTGGAAAATTATTAAAGTTGATTCTGAAAGTGAAGAATGAAACTTTAACTCTATGTGAGTCATAGAAAATAAATATGGGAATTGGATTGTTGTATCATGCGTGTCGAGTGTACACATTTGGGGGAATAAATTGTAACTACCATGCTTGGGTTGTTAATAGGTTTGTGATCTCATGATAATTGAGTCTGTTAATAGATGTGCAATATATTTGCATCTGGAGGTTTTGTCCTTGGTCATCGGTGGAGGATGACATGGTTGTGTTGAATTGTCGTGTATGCATTATACCATTGTTAATGGAACATCGTATGTGATGAATTATTGAGATACATTATATATGTATGCTTGCTTGGGAAGAGGTAGTTATGTGTTCATATACTTTAACACATTGTTTGTATCCGGATGGTTTATGTATATGTGTTATATATGTTGGTTGTGCCTTGTTGCATTTGGTTGGTGGTGTTATACCCTGCGCTAATAATCAGACGTACCGTGGCCTTTCAGCTAGCGCCTGGAGAACTGTCTGCGCTAATAATCAAAGGTACCATACCCCTCCAGCTAGCGCCTGGTAAACTAGCTTGTTATTGTAAAAGGTATATTGTTGGCTTACTACGTACATAGCTAGTAGAGCGAAGTTGGTTGTAGTTATTTCCGTATATCTTTCGCTTACTAAACACATAGCTAGTAGAGCAAAGTGGGATTGTTGTTGTTTCGTTATAACTGAAAATATCATGGATTTTGATTGGTTACAGTTCGGAGGACCGAGTTACTCCATTGGTTGATTGTATACACATTGGTGGGTTGTAAATTTATATTTTTACAAAGATATGCATGTATAGTTATGATAGTAATGGAAACGAACCAAAATGTCTTTTTGTCTTTTGGAAAGTGTGGAGGAGAACGTATGTTTTAAAGATAAACATGTTTGAAAATGTACATCTGAGTATGTATAGGAAATGGAAGAGAGTATCGGGCTTAGTGTAATTACTTCCTAAGTATTTGTTAATGTTATGACAGATTGGGAACGGGGGTTAATGAAAGGAAAAAGGAAAGACAAACCACTTGATAGTTTTTCCCAATATTTTTCAATTCTCTGGGGTGTTTAAGGGGTGGGGTTCAGCCTTGGGGGGGGTATATTTTGTTTAGGAACTTCATTCGTAATTCGAGCACTCCTTTGTGAGTGGGAATTTGAGAGGTGAATTCTATTCAAATCTACAAAGGTCAGCGTTTTGTTTGGCTAAGAAGAGGTTGTTTTGCTCAAGTACTTTGATGTAGCTCTAGTGTTCAGCGAGTTCACTCTAGAGGAAGTTGATGTTCATGGCGGTGTCTGGCGATTGTATTCTAGAGTGAGTTTTGCTGTTCAAGTATCTACAAAGGAGTTGTTTCAGCCATGGATTTGTCTTTGGCCATGAGAGGTGTTGGTGTTGGTGGTTCTCAGAAGCTTCGCCTCTATGGGAGGTGGTATGGAGGAGGTGTTTTTGAATTTGTAGTGTTTGTTTGATTTGCCATGGAAGTGGGTGTGAGTGTTCAACCAAAGGTGTTTCGCCGTGGGTGTCTTGGTATTAGAAGGAAGCTTTGGCCATGAAATGGGTGAGTTTGGCAGAGTCCGGCAGAAGTGACAAGCGTAGGTGAAGTTCGGTGGAAGTGTCAAGTGTCGTTGAAGTCCGGTGGAGGGAATAGGCGCGGGAGTGGGAGACACTGAGTTGTGCTTTAGGAGTATGTGACTATACCTTGGGAGTAGAGAAGTCTAATTTTGGGTGATTCATTGTCTAGTGCGTGGTTTGACATTGGGGTTTCATGCTTTTTGTTTTTATTTTTTTATAGTTAAGTCCCTCTTAACTATTAAATTTTTGTTTGGTCTTGTTTTGGATTTCTTTAGGTTAAAAAAAATAAAAAAAATAAAAAAATAAAATCGTGAGACTGAGGGGTTAGTTGTATGAATGCGAGTAACAGTAATAGTAGTGGGAGTATCATGTACTGTTCAAAGCTCTTTCTATGCATTGCATCTTCCTGTATCTTTAATTTCATAATTTTAATGAAATTTTCACTTTGCTAAGAAAAAGAAAGAAAGAAAAAATTTTGAGAATAGAAGAGTTAAATTCAAGTGCAATGCTTATATCTCACCTTAGAAAGTTAAAAGTCTCATAAAGGACTATCAAAATGAGACAATTTATATTTTCTTTCCCTTTTCCTTATTCTCTTCCTTTCTAAACCAAGATGAAATGTATTTCCATAAAATATTTCGATAATCTATAATACTCCTCTAAGTAATAAATGAAGGTCAATAATATCTTCTCATCTAATCATTAATATAAAATAAGAAGAAAAAAAAGATATATAGCCAATCATTTCTATTTTTTGAGCCTCTTGTGCTAATAGACTAAGCCAACAAACTACTCTGCGCGCTGACAAATGCTATATGAAACATAACAAAAATGTTTGCGAACTCTAAAAGAAGAATTCTAAGGAGCTTAATTGTGATGGGTCCAATTGTAATGTGATATTTTGTGTTAATTTTTTATTTTTTATTTTTTACGTTGCCACATAAATAGAGCTCTCTTTCGAGCTCTATTATTAGGGAATGTTTGATTGATAAGATTAGAGTGTGGGATTGAAATTATTAATCCGTGGGCTCAACCAACACACTACTCTGCGCGCTGACAATTGCTATATGAAACATAACAAAAATGTTTGCGAACTCTAAAAGAAGAATTCTAAGGAGCTTAATTGTGATGGGTCCAATTGTAATGTTATATTTTGTGTTAATTTTTTATTTTTTATTTTTTACGTTGCCACATAAATAGAGCTCTCTTTCGAGCTCTATTATTAGGGAATGTTTGATTGATAAGATTAGAGTGTGGGATTGAAATTATTAATCCGTGGGCTCAATCATTCTGTATTTGTTTTAAAGTTTTGTCTCGGAATTATTAATCCAACAAATTTGTAAGATTATTAGTAATGGGATAGGGGTGAGATTATATATCCTGAGCTAGAAATAAAATAAAAAGACTCTTTTACCCTTAACTAAAAATTAAAACACTTATTATTTTTATATAATTTTATATTTTAGAGGGCTAAAAATAATTTTTAAAAATTTAAAAATATTTTTTAATATTTATTTTATCAAATTAGTTTATATTTTTTAAGGAAAAAATTTTTTAAAAAAAAAAACAAAATGGCCTTATATTTTGTATTTTTATTTTGCTTTTATTTATTTATTTACAATTTTTTTCAAAACAACGTTTATGAAGAAATTTGATAAAGTAAAGATTGTGAAGAAATATTAATGGAGGATAAGATTAGAAAAGAAGATAAATATAGTTGTAATTCTACATTTACATGTTTTCTTATCCAATGCAAATCAAACAATGAGTAAGGGATAGTTTATCCTACTAATATAATTGGATAGTGAATATCACACTAATTTGATGGGATTATTAATGTTTTCACTATTAATCTTGCGAATCAAATATGGCCTTAGAGCTCTATATCATCACTCGAAACATAATGGAGTAATCTAATTTTCAGATGTGTAAGAGAAGCCAATTTGAGCCCATTAAATTAATTAGGCCCAATAGTCCAAGATTAGTGGGCCCGAATTTTTCGCAAGTCCAAGATTAGTGGTGTAGACACCCCATTTTTGACCGCCCTTAAGACTTGGGCGTTACTGATGGTTTACTTGGTGGAGACAGGTGTGCAGGGGAAATGTTCAGTTTCTTCGGCAAGGAGAGAGGCAAATCCTTCAAAACACTTTGTTTAGGAGTTTGGAGTTGAAGAAGAGAGGAAAGGAGAGGAGAAAACTAATTTGGGAGAAGTTCGGCATGAATCCGGGTAGAAGCGAGTCGAGCAGCCCTATACATTGAAAATCTACGAGAGCAAGTTCAAAATTTAGAGGCTCAGAGAAAAGATGTGCTCGACTCCATCGATGCAGCAAAAAGGAACAGAGAAGAAATTCTAGAAAGTGTCAAGAATTGGATTGACAAAGTTAATGGGTTCATTCTTGAGGCTAATGAGTTTCTTGAAGGTGGTACCAATGTGAACCAGAAATGTTTCAGTGGGTGGTTTCCTGATTTGGTCACACGACGCCGGCTAGGTAAGGCAGCAAAAAATAAAGCAGAGGAGGCTAAAGAGCTGGGAAAAGAAGGCACATTCAATAACAACATATCCAAACCTGTACCTCCCTTGGGGATAGAGTCCATACCCTCTGAACAGCTCGTGCCTTATGCTTCTAGAGATTTGGCAATGACGAATGTAATGGAGGCACTAAGGGATGACAATATCAACTTCATTGGAATACATGGTATTGGAGGCGTTGGAAAGACAACTTTGGTCACAGAAATTGGTAAAAAAGCTAAATCTGATAAGCTTTTTGACGATGCTGTGATGGCTGTAGTGTCTCAGAACCCAGACATTAAAAAAATTCAAGGTCAAATAGCTAGCTGGTTGGGTTTCACCCAATTAAATGATAAAGAAAATGAAATTGAAAGAGCAAACATGTTGTGTGCAAGACTCAAGGATGTGAAGAAGATCCTTGTTATATTGGATGATGTTTGGGCCAAACTTAATATGGCAGACGTGGGCATTCCATTTGGCAATGTTCACCCGGGTTGCAAAATCATAATCACAACACGGCGTGAGCAAGTATGTAGAACCATGGGAAATGAATGGGAGAAGACAAAGATAGTTTGGCTTGATGTTTTATGTGAACAAGATTCATGGGACTTATTCAGAAAGAATGTTGGCGACGTTGTTGCCTCTTCTGCTTTGAATGATGTGGCCAGAGAGGTTTGTAAAGAATGTGGAGGGCTTCCCATCGCAGTAGTTACGGTTGCAAAGGCAATGAAAGGTAAATCTAACCTTGAAGAATGGAAAAATGCAGCTCAAGAATTAAAAAAATCAGTGCCAACAAACATTGAAGGTGTTGATCAACAAGTGTACAAAAGTCTTAGGTTGAGCTATGATTACTTGCAAGATAAGGAAGCCAAGGATTGCTTCTTGCTTTGTTCTCTGTTTCCTGAGGATTATGACATTGTAGTAGAAGACTTGGTACGATATGGGATGGGGTTGAAATTATTCAAAAATGTTGATACAGTGCAAGAAGCCAGGAGCAGAGCAAAGTTAGTGATCAACAATCTCATAGCTTCCTGATTATTATTAGCTAGTTATAAACAAGGTTGCATCAAAATGCATGATGTTGTACGTGATGTTGCCATATTTATTGGATCCAAAAAGTATTTTGTAAGAGCTGGTCGCAATTTGAAAGATTGACCAAATATGGATAGTTTGGATCAATACATTGGCATATCGTTGATCAGAAATCAAATCAGCAACCTTCCTGAGGTCTTAGAATGTCCAAAGCTCCAAATATTACTATTACAAGACAATGAAACTGCATGGTCTTGTTCAAATGAATTCTTTTCAAGGATGAATGAACTTACTGTTTTAGATTTGAGCAAACAACCTTTCTACAATATTCGCAATCCAATTCGTAGTCCTGATGCTTTCAATAACCAAACGTCTCTTCAAACATTAGTTCTTGACGGAATTAAGTTTGGGGACACTAAATTTCTTGGACAGTTAAAGACGCTTGAAGTCCTTAGCCTCAGGCATGCCTTCTTTTCTGAGGCACCAAATGCTATAAGGGAGTTAACTAACCTAAGGTTGTTGGACATGACTGAAAGCCGTCATGAATTTCTGATTCCGGCCACAATGGTATTGCCTCTATTCCATTTGGAGGAGTTGTACTTGTTTGGCATCACATCTTCGAGTATCGGATGCCCTGCAGTGGAAGTAGTTGCTGCACTAAGATCTTTGCCTCACCTAAAAATGCTAACCATTTCCATACCTGACATTACATATATACCTAAGGACTTTGTTTTTCCTGAGCTGGAAAGTTTTATTATTTTTATTGGAAAATTGAGTTATCAGGTTGTGGCTGAAAATTATTCCCCAAATTATTTGAGTCTTGCAAATTTGGTTGGAACCATGGTTAATTGGAGTAAATGGCTAAAGATGGTGTTGAAAAGAGCTACACATCTGAGGATTGAATATTGTTCTGAATTCGAATACTTGATCACCACAGAGGAATGGGGGATTTTATCACAGGCACAACTACGTGATCTGCAATTGCTCTTCAACCTGGAAGAATTGGTACTCCGAAATTTGGATTGTTTCAAAGGGATATGTCCAGCAAGTGCACTTACTACTTCCAGGTGGCTGTGCTTCCCAAAGCTCAGAAGTTTGACAGTTAACAATTGTTCTTCACTATCAACTGTTCTTCTTCCATTCAATTTTCTTCTAAGGCTACAACATTTGGAGATGCTTCGGGTAATAAAATGCGAGAAATTGGAACAAGTATTTGATTTTGGTTCTGAAGGAGAAGGCATGAAGCTGCTTTCTAGTTTGAACTGCTCCAGTCGTCAACATGTGCAACTCAGCAACCTAAGATATTTGCATGTCGAATCATGTGGCAAACTGAAATATGTCTTCCAACCTTCCATAGCTCAAGCTCTTCATCAACTTGAATACCTTTGGGTAACTGACTGTGAAGAAATGGAGGAAATTGTTGCTGCGAAGCAAAACGAAGGGCAACAACAAGAAGAAGAGAGAGTGGACTACAAGATGGTGTTCGAAAGTCTCAAAGAAATCAGGCTTATACGTCTTCCAAACCTAAGTGGTTTCTGCACAGGAGGAGACGACTTTCCTTTTGAATGGCCATCCTTGGAACGACTTGAATTGTTTAAGTGCCGCAAAATGAAGACTTTCGCTGCCACTACTTCCGGCAGCACACCAAAACTGAAGGAAGTTGGATTGGGATGGTTCGGATCCGGGATACCGCTACAGGGGATGGACTTGAATCAGTTTGTGCAAATCCATGTCATTTCAAAGCCACCTAAGGTACTTCTCTATTTTACCACATTTAACATTTATACATACATATATATATATATATATATACATCAGGTAATTAGTTTTTTGGGTGAATAATATATCAGGTAATTAGTTACTTACATTATGAGGCAATTTTTTATTTATTTAATAAAAGTAAATTTTTTTGGATGAATAATATATCAGGTAATTAGTCTTTTATTATTTAGTTAAAATTTAATATATTATCCTCTTTCATGCATAGAGTTTTATTTTTATTTTTAAGTGTTAAGTTAAGTTGATGGATAATGAAATTTTACTTTTTATTGGCCTTTTACAATGAATATTCATTTATGCCTTTATTATTGAAGGCCTTTGATCATCTAAAAAAAAAAAAATCGCCTTTCGACTTAAGATAATAAATTATTTAATATTCTAGCAACCACTTGTATGGTAGTACTCCCTATAATGCTTAAAATTTATAACCATTTGAATAGTTCAGATTTTTTTCAAATTTTAGTATAAGGACCTTTGGGCATTGAATGTTTTTTAGGCCCTTGGATAAATAAGGAAGAGACCTAGTGGATTGAGATAATGCCTTCCTTAAATAAATATGGAAGAGACCTAGTGAATAGTTCAGTTTGTGCAAACCCATATCATTTCAAAGCCACCTAAGGTATTTCTCTATTTTACCACATTTAACATATATACATACATATATACTTACATTATGAGGCAATGTTTTTTTTTTCTTTTCAAAAAAGTAAATTAAATAAGGTCCTTGACTAATAAACTAGTAAAAATCAATGGACTATATATATTCATTGTGTTGGTATGATTCATATCCAACTAATTTTAAATTTGCATCTTATATTTCAGTTTCAAAGAAAATTTCAAGATGAAAATTCATGATACATTGTATTTTTGAATAAATTACAAAACAAATTATCAACTCCTCCTCATAGTTGATAATTTAGTTTGTACATAATTATAGATCTCTAATAATTTTAAATTAAATTAGAGCAATACGACATACACAAAATTTATACACTTAAAAATGCTTGCAAATTTTAATATACGGTAGAGATTCATTCAAATTGTGGACTTCACTATATTAGAGTTGAATCTTAAACACATACTATTTTTTTGGTATATTTTTGTGTATGAATTTTGTGCATAGAGAGGCCCTTTATTACATTCAAATAACATTTTTAATTTTTATTTTTATTTTATGGTATATATTAGGTCCCTTTATTGTCAAATCCGCGTACAAACTTTGTTTTGATAAAGTTGTAATTTTTCATAGTTTTTTTTCTTTCCCGCTCGAGCGGGACCATTGGCGCTCGAGCGGCATATGGGTTGTCTTAGTATTTGGTCAGGTCTGTAAAAATACTTAGCTATGTGATTTCGCGCTCGAGCGGGTTCTCTAGCGCTCGAGCGGAACTCTGTTTTGTCACACGCATGTTTTGCTGAAGCCGCTCGAGCGGGCTGTTTGGCGCTCGAGCGGAGATTGCGGGCTTTGTTCTCCTATATATATCTGTTTAGGCTGATATGAGGTTTTACTTTTCCTAGATCTTATTCAAGAGTCCTAGGGTTTTGTTTGAGGTGTTCTTCTGAGGTTTTTGTGAGTTTTCCTTGATAAAATTGAATGAGTATTCAACTCATGAATTGAGAAGCACATATCAAGGAGATTGTTCGTATACATACAAGAGTGTTATTCTTCGGTGGATTTCGAAAATTGAAACGTAGAGTTTCAAAAGGCGTTTGATTCTGTACGCAGTCGTTAATTCGACAAGTGAAGTTGTGGATTCAACTTCAGGATTGATCAGTTCCGAGACGAAGGCGAGGTGAAAGAGTTACAGAAGATTCGAAGACATATTGACTGAGTTGGGTAATTTGTGTGTTATCTTTGTAATCTTTCTTTCTTCAGTAGTGGATTGATTAGTGGCGTTTCGCCCGTGGTTTTTTATTACAATTGAAGGTTCTTCAATTGTGATTTTTTCCACGTAAAAATCGTTTGTGTCAATTTATTGTTTATTCCGAAAAACAACAATGTAAATCACTTTCGTAAGTGCTTGATGATTTAGATTGCGTGTTTTGAATAATTGGGATTTGGAATATTTTAATCTTGATCTAATCACGAATCACTTAGGATTTTCAGTATAGATTACACTTTTTAATGTAAAATTTATTATTTTCTTTTATTATTTAGTTAAAATTTAATATATTATCCTCTTTCGTGCATAGAGTTTTATTTTTATTTTTAAGTGTTAAGTTAAGTTGACAGATAACGAAATTTTACTTTTTATTGGCCTTTTACAATGAATATTCATTCATGCCTTTATTATCGAAGGCCTTTACTATCTAAAACATGAGATAATAAGTTATTTAATATTTTAGCAATCACTTATATGGTAGTACTCCCTATAATGCTTAGAATTTATAACCATTTGATTGAATAGTTCTATTTTTATTTGGGTGATTTTTATCAAATTTTAGTAGTATAAGACCTTTGGACAATGAATGTTTTTTAGGCCTATGGATAAATATGGAAGAGACCTAGTGGATTGAGATAATGCCTTTCTTAAATAAAGAAGGAAAAGAAAATGTTAACACTCAATTTCATTTTTCATTTTTCATTTTTCTTTTTCTTCTTTTTTTTTTTTTTTTTTGGTTTTTATACATTTTAATAAATTTTATATTAAGTTTTGATTAGGAATTTTTCTTTTTTTCTTTTTTTGGTTTCAAGTTGCCGAATTCCAATAGTGAGACCTTAGGCCATTAAGTCAAATGTTTGTAGTGTATTTGATAAAATTAAAAACTGAAGATCGAAGATTAAATATTGAATTTTTTAAATTAAAAAATTATTTGATAAAAATTTAAATACTAACTAAAAATAAATTATTTGATATATATAAAATTAAATTTAAAATTTATTATTTTTAAATTATATATTTTAATTTATATATTGGGATAGTGGCGGCGACGGCAATGGCATGGTGGTGGTGGAGCAAGTTAACCTCGCACTGGAGAGAAAGAGACCCACGTAGCCTTTTGTATTCTACCCATATACATCATTTTATTCTATTCTATTTTATTCTTCGAATCCAATTCATCATCAGTCTTTTTGCTCTCAGACATTTCGTCGAACACCTCTACACGCAGAGAGAGAGAGAGACAACTCAGCAATGTCTCTGCGACCCAATTCTCGGACAGAGGTCTGCAAGAAGTCCTACAAAACTGGCGTCGATGGCGACGAAGCTAGGTGATATGACTATGAAAGAAGAAAGCAGTAATTGAAGAAAAAGGAGAGAAAATGGAAAACTAAGTGTGGAGTCCATTCATTTTCTCATACAACTTGATTACAGTCAAAACAATCCCCCCTTTTTCTCCTCTCAACCATAGCTATATACATCCAATACTAACTAACTAACAAATCTCCTAACCCACTAACTAACCCCCAATAATCAAACAATCTCTCAAACTAATTCTCCCTCTCAAACTAAATTCCTGAATTTCAGCGCCAACTGAGCTAACTGAATCCAAAACTTCCTAAAAACTTCCTAAATCATAACATTTCCCACCCCTTAAAAACAGTCTTGACCTCAAGGCTGGAAATGGGGATATTTGGTGATGATGTCCTGGTAGTCCACCCAAGTAGCATCCTCTGGAAATGAGTGAGACCACTGAATGAGGAGTTGAGCCACTGCCTTGTTGTTCCTCTTAACCATACGTCTGTCCAGCACAGCCACAGGTTCCATTTGGAAAGTTCCATTAGGTGCGACTGGTGGCAATGTAGGCTGTGCGACTATGTGCTGACCCAACTTTTTCTTTAACAGAGAAACATGAAACACGAGGATGGATATGGGCAGAAGCAGGTAGCTGGAGCTGATAAGCAATCTTTCCAATTCTTGCCACAACCTGAAATGGACCATAAAATCTAGGAGCAAGCTTCATATTCCTGTGTAATGCCAAAGTAGATTGTCTATAAGGTTGCAGCCGCAAGCAAACCCAGTCATGTGGTTCAAATTCACGGTCGGATCTATGCGTATCAGCATAATGCTTCATCTTGTGTTGAGCTTGATGCAGATTGTCCTTTAACATTATGAGAATTGAAGCTCTTTCCCGTATCCAATTATCCACGTCAGCCACAGCAGAGGGGTTGGAAGCAATGCAGGTGTGGTCTGGTGGATCTTGGCCATAAACAGCGTAATATGGAGTGGTTTTGATGGCTGAATGGTAGGAAGTGTTGTACCACCATTCAGCTAAAGAAAGCCACTGAACCTAGTTCCTAGGACAGTCACCCGTCATGCATCGTAAATAGTTCTCCAAGCACTTGTTTAAGATCTCTGTCTGGCCATCAGTTTGTTGATGATAAGCGGAACTTAAACACAATTTGCAACCTTGCAAAGTAAAAAGCTCATGCCAGAAATTGCTAGTGAAGACTGCATCTCTATCGAATACGATAGATGAGGGCAGTCCATGTAATTTGTAAACTTGATCCAGGAATACTTGAGCAACATCTTTGGCTGTGTATGGATGTGAAAGTGCCATGAAATGGCCATACTTAGTTAACCTGTCGACGACCACAAATATAACAGATCTACCGTGTGATTTGGGAAGGCCCTCGATAAAATCCATAGAGATATCAGACCAAACTCGATTGGGAATAGCAAGAGGCTGTAACAATCCAGGAGATTTCACATTTTCACTCTTAAACCTTTGACAAATGACACATTCAGAAACCAACTTTGAAACATCTTTCTTTAACCCTTTCCAATACAAAGTTCTCTGAATTCTCTTAGTGGTTTTATCAATTCCCGAATGCCCACCTATTGCAGAGCAATGAAATTCCTCCATAATCTGGATCTTGAGCTAAGGCATGTTCCCTACCACCAATTTGCCTTTATAGGTCAGAATCCCTTGCTCCCAACGATAACCCATATGGGAAGTATGATCAAGAATCAAATCCGCAATGACCTGTTGCACCATTGGATCAGATACCCAACTTTGCTCAATTTCAGCTAACCAACTGGTAGACACAAAAGTGATAGCATGCAAAGTAGCAGGGTTATCTGTAGTATCCTCCCTCCTAGACAAATCATCTGCTGCCCTATTCTTCTTTCCACATCTGTAAACGATCTCATAATCATAACCCAACAATTTAGTAATCTACTTCTATTGGAATGGGATGCCCACCTTTTGCTCCAATAGGTACTTTAACCTTTGGTGATCTGTTTTGATAAGGAATTTCCTACCCAAAAGGTAATGCCTCCATTTGAGTACAGCCAAGGCCACTGCCATTAATTCCTTTTCATAGGTAGATAAAAGTTGATTCTGTGCAAATAAGCCTTTACTCCAAAAAGCTATCAGATGTCCCTCTTGCATTAGCACAGCCCCTAAGCCTTTTCTCGATGCATCTAATTCCACCACAAATTCTTTAGTATAATTAGGCAAAGCCAGAATTGGTATTGTGGTCATTACTACCTTAAGCTATTCAAATGCCATTGCAGCTTCTGAGTTCCATTGGAAGGAATCCTTTTTGAGTAATTTATTGAGTGGAGAACAAAATTTTCCATAGCCTTGAACAAACAGTCTATAGTATCCTGTGAGGCCAAGAAATCCTCTTAGTTCCTTTAAAGTAGCAGGTGTAGGCCAACTAGTCATAGCTGTAATTTTGGTTGGTTCCCTTCCCTTGAAACCAAATGCCCCAAGTATTCTACCTCCTCTTTACCAAACACACACTTGGACCTTTTGGCAAACAGTTGGTGAACTCGCAGCAACAGCAAAGTAGTTTGCAAATAATGCAAATGATTAGTCCATGTACTACTGTATACTAAAATGTCATCAAAAAATACTAAGATGAATTTCCTTAAGTGAGGCCTAAAAACTTCATTCATCAAGCTTTGAAA